GACTACTATGTCAGCATTTTATGCTCACTCAGAAGTAGTGCTGTTAAAAAAGGCATCTCATTCATACTGGTCTCATCTTGGAAAAGACTTAGGTTGTTGCCTGAAGTATAGTCAGCAATGTAATCCAGAGATGATATCACTTTATAACTAGGTCTGTGTGTGTTTGTTTACATACATATGTGTGTGTATGTATAAAAAAGATCTACCCTCCTGCATTTTTTCTGGTTTTACCTGAATAAAAGCCAACTTGCACAGCAATATCAGACGACCGAGAGAGAGAGTCAAGAAAGTAATACACTGCTGATAACACCTTGGCTAAATTGACTGGCTGTTTTATGTGACTTTTAAATCTTCATCAATTTGTGACCCTCTAAGAACTTTTCCAGTGGAGCCTCAGCGCTTTAATTAATTCAAGCCTACTCATAACAGGCTTGTGCTCCTGTCCTGTTTCACGGTTCCCTTAGTAGTCTACAAACCCTGGCATCTTTGGCCATAAACTTCTACTTTATGCATTAGAATCACTCCTCTCTTGTTTGGACAGAACGTAAGAGCAAAATGAGCTCAACTGAAGACCTTCTCTGAAAGTGAAAAAATATTCAATTGCTTCCAAGCACAAGATAAAGTAAAGTTACAAAGTGTTATTTGCACAAAAAAACCTGTTGATTCTGGCAATTTATCTCAAGTGACTGTTTTTCAGGTATTTAAATAATGAGCTTTTTATGTTTTACCCGAAAGATTTCATATGTTGGACCTTTTAAGATTTTAAAATACCAAGTTCTGTAAGATACAATTAATTGTAAGGTAAGGCAGTCTATATATCAATAAAATAAAATATTTTGCCATAGCTTCATCCTTCAGCTCATATTTTCCTTTTAGGAATTTTACTGTAAGTAAAAAAATTATCTCTTTACTGTAAGAATGTTATCATTTCCTCTTCAATTAAGTTCATAAGGTAAAAGTAAGTCTGTATAAAATTTAAGTAGCAGTGGACAAATGATTTCTAATATTTCATCCCATAAAAATTATTTTCTCGAAAATCATTGAATATTAAGAGGAATGTCCTGAGGCAAATTTCCTCGTATAACAGTATCCCCTCCTACATTTGTAAAACCTTCATATATCTTTGATTATAAACACAGAATCTCCTTAAACCAGAGTTTGCCTGAATCCATTATCATTCACATTCGTGAAACTGGACCTAACAGTCAATTGGCAAGAGTGAATAGTGAGTTACACACATTAGCCTTGCAAACATGTTTCTTTGAAGTGTTCATCTTGATCTACTTGATTTACTGATATTGTTTGTATGGGATATGAAGTTCAGCATATAAAGTGGCTAACACCAAGCCTAGTTTCACACCAGCTGGATTCAATCTAAGAGTGAACTTCGCTGTTGAAAGAGATGACTCGGAAAGAACAGGCAAGCAGATGCTCCTTTTGGCATCTTGGCTATAGCACTTCACTGCACTCTACCTAGCAGGTGAAGACTTGGTATTTCAGTAATCCCAAAGGTGGATCTGTGTGACAGAAGAAAGTGTAGATCTCAGTGTCAGATTGTTTTCACTAAAAGGCCAGTGCAGATGCTGTGGGGTTTTGGACCAGATCAGTTCATGGAACAGATCCATTCTGTGATGACATGACTGCTAAATCCAAACCAACAAACTCAGTGGCAGGAAACAGCCAGATACAGAACTGCCCTTTCTGGTGGCAGCTCTGTGGAAAAGCAGATTAAGTAGATGCTAGTGAAACTGCACCCTAAGTCCATCCCATCTGTGGTCATCATCTTGCTTCTGTACACCTGATTCTTAACAAACCTTTCTAACTCTTTTTACTAATTCTGTAAACAGATAGGATTTGCTTTTACCTTAATTTGGCTTGAATTAAGTCAAGTAACATCCAAAGATAGGACAAAGTTGTTCCAGAAGCGCAGTTATTGTTAAAATCAAGATACTGAGACACTGACATTTTTTAGCAGCACAGAATATTGACCCTGAGTATCCAGAGGAAAGCAAGGAACCTTATTTTCAGGGGCAGTTTAGGAGCTATTAATGCAGGAAACTATGTAGAAAATGCATCTTCTGGTGAAAAACAGTAACCACAAAATCTCTCCATTGTAAAACAAGGCAGATGGATCAGACGTGGGTGCCTGCAGATCTTAATGGTAGTTTGTCGTATCATGCAACTGTGCTGCTTTTACTGGAGATGTGCAGACAAGGCTACAAGCATAATATTTTATAAATAAAACTCTAAACCCACCAATTCACTGTCCTTGAAATTAGTTGAGTCCCCAACCTTTACAACAGTGAAATGGCAGAGTATTTTTGTCCATTTCATTGTAACACGTAATTTTGTGCCGAAATTTCACTATTCAAATAATCACAGGAATTAGCACTTACCTCACAGATCACATATTCAGTCAGCTTTTGCAATCAATACTCATATCTATATATGTACATATGTGTGATCACAGATATTACAGCGGTAATTCTTGTGTTCCCGTTAAAATGTTTGGGTTGTTCATTCAGGGTTTGAAAGGAAGAGGCAGACATTGATTTACAAAGGAGCATAAGGAGATGATTCAAACCAGAGCACAGATAACAAAAACATTAAAAAAATTTTTTAGAAATTTTTTAAAGCAACTATATCCCCCCTCCCGTCAATATGCAAGGCATGATCCCAGCACAATTTAGCATACACAAGACTGGTAGCCACTGCTATTTTTTCTTGTCCTGTTTGACTGACTGGGAACAAGATCAGACAGGCGATAAGTGCGCAATTGTTCTGTTCACAATGCAGCTCCCGTAGCCGCTACCATCAAAAAAGCACAGATGACTCTGGAAACGTGAGATTTTACCCACCCTTAATAAAGAGAAGGAGCGTGAAGCCTACATAATGTTTTACATAAAGGTGTATAATCTTAACTCTGGTACTCTACACTTTCTCTCCCTCTGGCTCCCCAAACAATGAGCACAATTGAGCTTTTGGTACTAAAACATCTGTTCTCTTAAAAATCACATTGTAGTTGTTAATTGCAAATAAAGAAGGTGAGCCTTATCACTGTCAGTTGTTTACCGAATGAGCTGTAATCTTTTTTTCTTATGGGCTTAGTAGGATGCTGCTCTTAAATTTACAGCCGGGAATACAGAGCTCTCAAAGCCAAATAGAAAGCAAATGTAGAATTAAAACTGAAAAAGATTTAAGAAACTTTCTGAAAAAGTTATTTTCCTAACTACCTTCTCTTAAATGAAAAATTCTGAACATACTTAATTAAAGCTGCACTCAGACTATACTCATAGGAACTCCTGAGTTCACATCAGTCCTCTGCTAGTGCAAGCAGATATGTCATCAATTCCTTTTATAAATGACTGAGTTATATTTTAAAAGAAATTATATTTTGTGCTTCTATTCTTATTGCTGTATTGGTTAGAAACCTTACCCTGATTTCCAGCATATGTCGCTTCCACTCACTTCATATGCTGACAATGTCCTCAAAGATAAACAGTTCTTTTCTCTCTCATTAAAGTTTACTCTACTGACATATTTACAGCAAGCAACCATATGCTCCCTCAATCTTTATTTTTACAGGATCAGCAAGTCAGCTTTTTTTGTATGACAGGTCCATGTTTTTGCATCTGTCATACTTCGAAGAATGTCTTTCTGAGAAGTTATTTTCCTGCATTACCTTTTCGTAACACATTTCACTGAAATTGCACCACTGATTACAGTCCTGAATACAGCATTCCGAGTTGCAGTTAATTATTATTTTTTGACCAGCAATGTCAAGTTATGCTGCTTCTCCACTTACTAAATTCCTGCTACCCAGTAGGTTTTTGCTCCCATAGTCTCTTTTATGATCCTCATTAAAACCTGAGACGGAGCTCTTACTTAATTTTGAGGCCATATCAAATTGTTTTAATTTCTACCTGATCCTTATCACTTAGTAGTTGTTTTTCTTTTTTTCTTTTTCTTAACAAAGCTGAAGAACATTTAGATATTTATTATATACCTTTTGCAGGATTTCTACCTGTTCCGAACTTTAATATATAGCTTCAAATACCAACATAACTTAGCATTTTCAGGCCTCACACTATAGTCTAAATCCCTAAGATCCTTATCACACTGAATTTCACTACTTCATTATATTCTATTAACTTTATTAAAATATATACTTCGAAATTGAGAGCCACAGATGCAGAGTTAGTTCTGTTGATCATTAAATTAAACCTAAAATGAATCAATATCTGTCTCTCAGGCTAGGGTTCTTTTCTCTGACCAATTCTTTCATTAATTCCTTACTGTTTTCCAAACCAATGTAACACCATGTCTTGCTAGCTTGGTGACAATGAAGTGAAGCAATGATGTGGGCAGTTACACCGGAATATAACTCACTCAAACAACATTCTTAATATTTGCTCTCAATTTTTTCTCTGGGTAGTTGTAAGACAAAATGCTACAGGATTTAAACTTCTTATAATATTGCAGAACAGTCTATAAGCATGTTTCCAGCATTATCCCAGAACACTTACTATTCTCTCCCAAAGTAACTTCCATCTGAAATACTACTAATACTTTGTGTTAGCAGTACATCACGAAATACTTCATCACTCTGCTAATACTTTGTATTTCTTTGCAGTCTACCATAACATTACTAAACAACGCCAACCACCACCTTTGATTCTAGCTTTCTTGAACAGTAACATGAAAGATACCTGTTCTTATACCCTCCAGCATCAGTCATAACCAATTGTAACTTGTTTCTTAAATAACCTCTAACAAAATAGTTACCTATACAAATACAGATACTGAGTGTGTAACATAAAACCATTTTCATGCACAGAAGCACTAAATTCTGTTGGATGAAGATAATTTTTTGGCGGGGCATGTAAGAGTGTACGAATACAGAGAACACCAGCGGCTGCTCCTTTCTTCACACACTTCTGTCTTGCTAAGTACTCACTACTTAAAACTGAAATAAACTGTTAGTTCTTCTCATAACGCACCTTTAGGGTCAGCCTCACAACATTACACTCCTGCAGAGGGTTCAGTTTCAGCGTTTCTCCCAGGTTACTGCAGCCTGATGTTTGATGCTGCATTTCACAGCAAACACAGACACCATCACTGTCAAATTTAATCTGTGGAGGAAAAAAAAGTTAGAGAAAGTATAAATCAACAGAAATACACTTCCCAAAAATTATATTTACACTTATTGTGACAGTAATGACTACAAAATGCAAAATTAAAATCTCTGTGCAGAATCCCCTGAAGCAGAATGCCTTCCGTTGACTAACATAAGCTATAAAACCAGGTAAAATACACAAAGAGGATACAATACCAAAGAAGAGTGTTACCTTTTATGCCTCTTTTTGAAAAAAATTTGCTTTACAGGGGCAGATGAAACCAGAGTAACTCAAGTGAATAAACATCAAATCATACCCAACAGGATAAAGACAAAAAATAATAGAAAAAAGTCAGAAAATACATGAAGCAGTCATGATCACAAATGTAGCATACTTACACAAACATGGAAAAATAATTATAAAAGAAACCATGACATATACTTGAGAAAAGAGAACACAGCATGAAGAAAAAGTGGAGGATGTAAGAGGTACATGTCATCTCATATGTATTTTTACCTTGGAAAAGTTTTGCTCTCTATTTTCCTATGTTCAGTTTGTCTTTAATACAATAAGCATGCAATGTTTTTATATTTTAAAAGGCATTATGCATTCTATTCTCCAAATACTTGCATTAAAGCATGCCTTGCTAAGAATACTGAACCCTGATCATTCTTAAAAAGTAAATTAAAGTTATCTATGAGTGATTCTAAAATAATCCCATTCAGCTCAATGAAAATATTCACTATACTGATTCTGACTTCCTCATTAAAAAAAACAAAAACAAACAAACAAAAAAACAAAATCCATAGCAATGTTTATTTTTCCACTTCCTTCTCACAAAGACTTTTTTTAAGCCAAAATGTAACTCCATACACGTTTTTACCTAGTCTGTTAATATGAACTGTCATTGCTTTGAATTTTCTCAGTTGGGTATTTCTGTGCTTTCTCCATTCCCATTTTTGCAGGTAATTTAAAGGGCTAACAATGGGATACAATACCTTACTCCTCACTCCTCCAGGTCACTAGTTGCAATTCAATCCAGGTTAGTATTGAGAAAAATAATTAGTATCACATGGGAGTTCCTTGAACTATGAGTTTAAAAATACCAGATCCCAGGTTTCTATACTCCAATAACCAGCAGTAAGAATGACACTCATGAGAAACTTCCATGGCTTTTCATGTAAAGAATAAAAGATTCAATGTACCATTCAGGCATACTCAATCAGTCCTGTATTCCTCCAAGTAAAGACAGAAGCACAGTGTCTGGGTGGTGAGGGATCCAAATCACCACGTTACTTACTCTTTAAAAAAAAAAAAAACCCAAACAAAACAAAAAAAGCACAAAAAAGACCAAAACCACCACCACATTTTCCAGACACAAATCTGCAAAAAATTTCCTAATGCAAATATGCATTTACTATTTTTAATTCAAATTCTCCCTAGAATGTTGCCAATTTCTTGAACAAAGATAGATAGCAGCATTCTGGGCTGCGTCAAAAGCAGCGTGGCCAGCAGGTCGAGGGAGGGGATTCTGCCCCTCTACTCTGCTCTGGTGAGACCCCACCTGGAGTCCTGCGTCCAGCTCTGGAGCCCTCAGCACAAGAAAGACACGGACCTGTTGGAGCGACTCCAGAAGAGGGTCACGAAAATGCTCAGGGGGATGGAACACCTCTCCTGTGAAGAAAGGCTGAGAGAGTTGGGGTTGTTCAGCCTAGAGAAGAGGCGGCTTCAGGGAGACCTTATTGCAGCCTATCAGTACTTAAAGGGGGCTTATAAGAAAGATGGCGGCAAACTTTTTAGCGGGGCCTGTTGCAACAGGACAAGGGGGAATGGCTTTAAACTAAAGGGGGATAGATTTATACTAGATATAAGGAAGAAATTTTTTACACTGAGGGTGGTGAAACACTGGCACAGGTTGCCCAGAGAGGTGGTGGATGCCCCATGCCTGGAAACATTCCAGGTCAGGTTGGACGGGGCTCTGAGCAACCTGCTCTAGTTGAAGATGTCCCTGCCCACGGCAGGGGGGTTGGACTAGATGACCTTTAGAGGGCCCTTCCAACCCAAACTATTCTGTGATTCTATGATTCCTTGTAGAATTACCTTGCACAGCCTTTTACGGAGAATCATTTCAACAGAATATTTTTGCTTAAGACCTTGAAGAATGTTTAAATTGTTCATATAATCTTAATAGCTGCATATTTAAGTATATGTATTTTTTAGTGTCACCCCTATCAGGCTTATCTAGTGCTCTCTGCTTACATGCTGGTGACCAGAGCAGCAGTTGGAGGAGCAGAAATAAGAGTCCATTAAAAAACCATAATAAACTTTACCAGACGAGATGCAGATGAATGAATGCTTGCCATATACAGTGATGAAGGCATGCTGTGCTGGTTTTGGCTGGGGTAGAGTTAATTTTCTTCACAGTAGCTAGTATGGGGCTATGTTTTGGATTTGTGCTGGAAACAGCGTTGATAATGCAGAGATGTTTTCGTTACTGCTGAGCAGTGCTGACACACAGTCAAGGCCTTTTCTGCTTCTCACCCCACCCCACCAGCGAGCAGGCTGGGGGGGCACAAGAAGCTGGGAGGGGGCACAGCTGGGACAGCTGACCCCAACTGCCCAAAGGGAGATTCCACACCATGTGACGTCATGCTCAGCACATACAGCTGGGGGAAGAAGAAGGAAGGGGGGGACATTGGGAGTGATGGCGTTTGTCTTCCCCGGTAACCATTACGCACAATGGAGCCCTGCTTTCCTGGAGATGGCTGAACACCTGCCTGCTGAGGGGAAGGAGTGAAGGAATTCCTTGTTTTGCTTTGCTTGTGTGCGTGGCTTTTGCTTTACCTATTAAACTGTCTTTATCTCACCCCACGAGTTTTCTCACTTTTACTCTCTTCCGATTCCCTCCCCCATTCCACCGGGGGGGGGGGGCAAGGGGCTGTGGGGTGCTTAGTTGCCGGCTGGGGTCAAACCACAACACATGCTCAGGGCAGAATGCTATCTCAGTGGGTTTCAATTCCTGAGGCTCCAGATTGCCCTCTAGCCAGTATAATTTGTAAAAAGGCTTTAAAAAAAATATGGGTATGTAATTATACCATTTCCCATATACTCAAAGGCAGCACTGGAAATAATTGTCTATGGCAACTCACAAAGACTGGTCATACCCTAAGTCATAGACACTGTAAAAGAAATAAAGAAAAAAATATATAGTTTGAGCACCTTTATAATAGTTGTGTTGTTTATTTCTAATTAGCATACAATTTAATTCACAAAGTTGCTTTAACAATTTCAGACAGTGGGCTTTTTTTCAATTCCTGTAATCTTTTAATACCTTCTTTTAAAAAATGAAAGATCTGAACAAAACCCAACTACATGGTTTATGATCAGATAACCTCAGCTCTTCAAATCAATGGAAAATACAAAGCACTAAATGCTACTGGGGAGGTCTTGCTCCTGAATCTCTCTGGAAATGGTGTCAACTGTTAGATAAATGCTACAGAGGAAGTTCAAACTTACACTTTGAATTTAGAGCTGTGTCAAATTCAGTGGCCAGAATGCTACAGCACACCTGCTCTACCAGCACCAGGCATAGAGCAAATCAATATAGTCTTCAGCTGCTAAAAACTTTTTATAATGAGGAAAATGGACTTCAGACAAAGCTAGCTACTGCAGGATCATTTGCTCTCTGATTCATGTTCAATGAATTCTGCCCCTGTTCAATGAAAGATAGTCACTGACTCACGATGGGATGTATTGACATTTCTAATACGAAATAGAGGTCCCAAGTCTACTTTTATCTCATGTAATGAACAGGTGTCACAGAAATAAGGCTAAAAAGAGAAATACTTTCTTGGTCAAGATTCCCCATCTATGAGAGATTCTCAGTTCATTCTGAAAGATGTTCCATAACTTTATACTGCCCAGTAACCCTCCCTTTAACTCAATTCTTAAAAATAGTTAAAAGAGAATTGTTTACATGAAAGTTCCTGCAAAACATAGGGACATCTTAAAAATCATAGCATATTCAAAAACACCTAAGATTTGCAAGCGGACTGAAAAACAAAACTCTATTTTAATCTTAGACATACATTTTTGGAGAGCTTTTAACAATTTCCCCCATTGTGCACCTTTTCCTTCAAATGTTTGTGAAGTGACATCTTTGCTAACTTTTGTTTTTGTAATGGGGAGCAGTACAAAAGGCTGAGCCTGTCATTGCGTTCATGCTTTCAACAATACCGCACCTGAAAGCAGTTTTGAGCCCTCGTGCTCCAGAATGCTCATCCCTGCCCTAGTCCCGTCTCACACTTGTGCAGGCAGGATCAAGAATTCTTACAGCTATCCTGTGACCTAAACATTGTCAACACTAACTTTTCTTATTTTGTGTGGGAGTGGCTTATTTTTAGTCCAGATCAGACCTCAAATGACATTCACTGTGTGGCTTCATAAATACAGACAGTGGCACAACAATAGAGCTACATTGGTACAGGGAGAAGGAGTTGGGATTACTCCTTTCAGCTGCAGGGCTGGTGTTTGCCAGCCTCAGACACAATTACATCAGCAGTGCCTCCAAAACTGTTTTCTCCTCTCTCTGCTGTGTTTAAATCTCTTCGGTTGGCAGAGCTCAAGAATAAAGCATCATTCACTTCATCCCCTGCACGTACTCCCCACCATCAGTTTCCCTGTATATATTTGCATTCCACTTTGTGATTCTTACTCATGCTAGTAAGCACAGTCAGTAATCACAGTATAGTTTGTGTACTTTCATATTTATGACAGTTGCACAGTACTCCCTCATCCAAACCATATTTAAGATTTCAAACATCAGCCTGAGCTGCCTACATGCATAAATTGTCTTTTAAGTTTATTTTGTTTTGCCAAAAAGCAGTACTGTTACTTCAAAAGTGATAAAACCCATTAAAATCTGACTTTTATGTAGCAGAGGATCAAAAAAGTAAAGGATCCTCCAACAACAAAGAACACAGAGAACTTCAGACTTATTAAAAATACATGTATAT